GCAGCACAAAACTTTCCCAACATATGTACACTGAATTATCTTTAACATTTTGGGTCTCAGTCAAAACACCATTGTCTTCAAGGTAATATTTTCTGAAGAGAATTAATTATTAATATCGTCAGACAATGTTATGATAAGAATGAACAGATTATGTCATATAACTTCAGACATCTAAAAGTTACAGATGTCAGACTGAGCCAGTCACTCTAAGTTCCCTTGATAGTAACTGGAAAGAAATTTGCACCTATAAAGGGCCATCCATCTGCAATCTCAGGATGAGAAGAATCATTCCCTTGAGGTGTCCATTTCTCTTCATGGACAATAAAGAAAGAAGAGGGTAAGATAGAGAGATGTAATTTTTTTAAAATGCCAAAACTAATACAGATAAATCTTAACTCTAGGAGGAAAAACATTAGGCTACTTTATACAGAAAGCCTAGAAGAATATATGAGCCAAGGGGCCAAATTAACCTGTGTTCAAAATAGAGAAACAGTACAGATTTTGGCGAATTTTTTAACATGCACGAGGCTCAATATATATTCAGTATAATTGGCCACTCAAGAAAACTCAGGAAAACTGTAAACAAAAAGGACTTTCTGCTCAAACACAGAAATAAAGTATCTGTTCCGAGGCAGCCAAATATTTCATATTTAATGATAAGAATATTTTAAGAGTTCAGACTTAAAAAAACTTGATACGCTAAGTTTACCTGCACTTTTAGGGTAATAAATTAACCCTTTTGATACTGGTGTCATACCTACAGAAAAGATTAAAGTCAACCCCCTCCCTCTACATCTGAGACTTTTGATAGAGTCCCAAGATTAAAGCCAAATGCAGAACCTGGCCTACAGTGGGTACATGTTTAGAAGTTCATAAGGTTTGGGTATAGAGAAATGCTAAGTTTGAAAGAAACTCACTGGAATATAAGGGGAATAAAAATTTCTTGCTCAATTATTTACAAGAACCATCCTATATCAATTAAATAGATATTTAAAACTTGCATCTGAAATTGTTCCTGAAACATGGAAATTGCTTGTAAAGAGGAAAATTTCTTATGTTTTATTCCGGATTTCCATAGTTCTAACTTGCTAAATTGGGCATGAAGTGGTTGGGTTATACACATCACACCTTCATATAAAGTGTAATGAAATAAAAGCATTCTAATGGTTTTTACCATAATAACAAGCAATCCTCATATAGTGATATTTAAAAATCTACAATAAAGGATGATGCACGGAGAAAAAAGAAGGAAGATTTCTTACATTCTTCAGCTGGATGTTGCATAAGGTTAGGTTGGATGGGGCTTTGAGCAACCTGTTTTATTTGAAGATGACCCTGCTCTTTCCATGGGGGTTGGACTAGATGATCTCTAAAGGTCCTTTCCAGCGCAGACTGTTCTGTGATTCTATGATTCTGTAGGTTAATATTTTCATAAATGTGTATGATTTTCTGTAGAGCAAACATATACAATACCTGTCCTGAAGTCCACAGGAACATTAAAAAATTTTTTTTATGTCAGGCTTTCAAATGGTTCTTGGTAAACTGAGACTGTTTTCTACACAGGTTGCACTACAGGTGCTGTCTTTCCTCACTCATTCTGGTCATATACTGACTTAACTGTACAATGCAAATAGTGTATCTGATATTTCACTGAAAAGAGACAGGATTTACTATGGTCAGGCATGAGAGGGAGTCACGGGACAGGAAAGAAGGGACACAAGAATAAGCAAGCACTAGAGAGTGGGAGAGCATCAGGGTAAAGCCAAAGACAGACCTTTGATGTGCAAAGTCACAGCAACTGAAGTACAAGACTAGTGTCATCAATTCCTCAACATGTCAAAAATGTCAACGTAATTTCACTTTAAAACACATTTAACTACATTTAGAATCATGATATAAATGCAATATCAACAACCAACATTGAAAAAGTATTTCTTTTTAGTCCATTTAGATTTTACAAACACATTTATGTGATAGAAAGTTAATACTCTAAGAAGTTATTGAAAATACCAAAGAATCATCTTTTTTTAAACTGTATTAGATAGGGAAAACATCCACAAAATTTTTCTCCCAGCCAAGTCATCTAAGAATTTATTTTTAAACTCCAGTGAACCCAACTATGTTTGCAAAAAGCTACCCACGATATATGGCCTAATGCACTGATAAAGGACAGAAAAAAAAGACTTTATCAAGACCTGGAACATATAGACTAAAGGAGATAAAATATTATACTATGATTTCTGAGCACTGTAGGGACACTGGAATTGCACACAGTATGAAAAAGATCATGCAAGACTCAATTTTTTTCAAGTTTATCAAAAGTTATATCAATGCTAACTAAATGAGACTACGAGTAAAATTTTCCATAGTGATAATCTTATTTCATAATGGTTCTTTTTAAGTGTCCACAGGGGACACTAGAAGGAGAACACCAGGTCAGATAAGGCACAAGGCGGATACATTATAGTCATTTTAATGGTGCAATAAAGAAGACAGAGTTATGATCCAAAAGGTAGGAACTGAGCACAGAATTCCCAAGTCCAGATTGGTGCAGGAGCTGAACAGAGCAAGAGAAAGAAACCTAAAGGAAAGCAAGGATAAAGGAAATATTTGGAAAACATATCTACAGTAGACAGCTTAGAATTTAATTTTCAACATAGCACAAGTACTATTTATATGTGAAATGTGGGTTTTTTCTTACACAAGACTTAAAAGAATTCAACTACAACAACATTATTTCCATTTCACAAGTATCATGGCTTTCATGAATATTCCTTTTACTTTTTACAAAGTTATTGTATTCAACAGAATGGTCAATGGTCTCTCATAGTGAATAAGCACACAAAAGTTGTAGATTCAGGCTCCACACCAGGCTGAATTGTTCAGCAGAAATGCAGCTGGACTGTGGAAACCAGTTCTGTTAAATTCAGTGGGTGTCCCCCAAAGAAAGTAGTTGGGAACTACTTATTTTACTCATAATGCTTTCTTTAATTTCCTCCTTCCTGTGCACCACTGAATCCAACAGGCCTCACAAACAACTTCCTATAATGTAGAAGAATTAATGAGAAAATGAAGTCAATGTACTGGATTAATGCTTTCCAAAGTCACAGGCCATTAAGTAGGTGCCCAGAACAATTTTCATACATGTTCTCTAATCATCAAAAGGTCCTTAGTACCTAAAAAATTACCTCAAGCACGATTTATTAATGCTTATCATTAACTTACTGCTATTGCATTCAGTTCTTGGACAGAAAGTTGCTGCCAATCAGTCTTAAAATAAGCTTAAAAATCTTCCTACTTTTATTAATATAAGTTAAACTGCTTATGATATTTGGTGGAAGATTTTGACTCTGAAATTAGAAAAACATTGGATGATGATATACCAGTAAGCACATGACACAACTATAATGACAGGATTTGTTACCGTAAATGCTGGGATATACTATCAAACAGAAAAATCAGGGTGAGAGCTTACGAAGGAAAGATTTTAAGCATATTCTTTTCTTAAGTAATGTACTCTATTAAAAGTAATACATGTTTCTTATGATCACTGTAGAGGAAGTTATTCTCTAAAGGAATTTGAATACGTAAGAGCTGATGGTTAAGGACTTGCTGACACTGGAGAAAATCCGAACATAAGGATTGGATGAAAAAATAGTAAGGAGAATAGTACAAGAACGGACTGAATTGTGTATGAAGGTTAGAGCAGAAAATTGGGGGCAATTAGTCTGGAACACTGCAGAGAGGCCATTGTGCCTGGCTAGGACGTTTGCTGAGACTGCAAATCACATATTTATTTATTTCTGCTGAACTAGCCCTCTAAGTAATAAAGTGCTGCAAGGGCACAGACCAAGAACAGTAACATAATTCATGTGAAATTAAGTCACAGCAACCAGCTTATAGATAAATGGATAAAGAGGTACGTATTCTCTGGCATAAATTGTGTGTAACGTCATTGCAGTCAATGGAATTGTGTCATTTTACATCAGGAGAAAATTTGTTCTACAACACAAGCAATAGTTTTGACAGTTATGTCCCATTTTCAGAAAAATCCCATTTGCAGCTTCTTGTTGATCCGTCCAGTAGTTCTGTCAAACACCTAGAAAGGTCCTCCAAGAACTATAAAGGAAATCAATTTCCCTGGTGGTGATATCTGAAGATGAAGGTATGGAATGAAATTCTGACACTTTTTACACCTGGAAGTTTCACTGAGCTCAGCAGTATCCTTTTATGACACACAAATTTGGTACATTGTTTCCTATAGTTTCTTGCCATTTAAATATCTGAATATTTGAGTATAATAATAACAATATTTATACATTAATAAACATAATATCTCATAAATATAGATTATTGACAACAGCAGCACTGACATTTCCTCTCTATATAGCTTGATCAGTAAAGGAATGAGCTGAGACAACTTGTCCAGATTGAACATTTTAACGATTTTATTCTTTAAAGAAATTTCTATTTGTTTTCTTTAGGCATTTAGAAATTATTTTGCAGCTTACAGGAGTGATAATTCTTTATTTCAAAAAGATTCCAAAGAGATCCCCAAACATTCAAAACTTGAAATACTTGGCTCTTCAAAGACATTGCAATTCTTCCTTGTTCACATTTTGCTAATATTTGTTTCTTTTTTGTTATCATTTTTTGTTGTTGTTCATCCTGATATTTCGCAGGTGAAGAAAAAAGCTAAATCTCTTTGAGAAGACAAATGGATCTAAGAAGATAAGTCTTACTTTTTATTCTGGAATATTTCCATATTTTTATTCATATTTGTGACAAGTCATGGAATCCAACAGGAAAACAGAAATCCCTTTTACTAAAAGGGAAAGCTTTATTCCAGAAGGTATTAGTAATTTTCTAAATATTGTTACATATCTCTTCATGATCTTTCAACAAGATACATGGACTTCTGAGATGCTTTTACACTCTTTAAATTTCTTCTTTAGTCTGCTTAAACACAGATAAAACAGAAAGAGAATAAGAAAGTGTTACTTGCAGTGCTACTTGGATCACAGATACTTACACTTGTGACAAGCACCTTTTCATCTTTTAGAAAACACGAAGTCTGTCCGTACACTGATGTGCAACATTAATGACAGGACAACAGCTTACATTGGAGCTCTGTGGAAATAGGAAACTTGAAAAAAAAATGTACCCTGCAGTGCTGAAGAATTCACAGTAAATTTAGACTGTATACTAGTGATCTGCTATAAATATATTTTGGTGTGTCACTGTCACATTAGGCTACATCTGCAAAAGGACTTTTACACCAAGCACTGACACTGTGGCTTTACTATGTTGCTCAGAAGCCTTCTGGACTGCCCTGTACATCTATAGGACACTGAAGACCTTTATTCCCTGTCCAGTGATCTCCATAATAGAGATTCTGATACTACTGTACTCCTTTATGCTTATACCCTGGTAAGGCTGTCAAAGGGCTGGCCTCACCAGGGACTTCCAGTATGGTCAACTCTCTTACCTGTTTGAACAGCATCACACAAAACACCTTTATCCAGTACCTTAGTAGTCTCCTGAGAGAGAGACTGAGAACTGAATGCTCACCTCTAACACTGGCCTCCTTTGAGATGAGTACTCTATTCCTATGTTAAGAGTGGCTGGGACTCCTCTGTAGACTTTCCTATTGTTCAGTTTTTATTTGTCAGGTTTTGCATAGCAGTGTGCAAAAGTGGTGCATTGGGGTCTTATAGAAAAGAATTCTTGTGTCAAAGAAACAGGTATGTCTTCTTGAGTAAGGGTTTGATACCTTTATCCTCAGTTTTCAAAGAGCTTTACTATTTCATGTGAATCCCTGACTGGCTTGTAAGTTTCTGTGACACCTCCCTTTCCCCATGCATTGAAAAAATGGAGAAAACACAGTTTGTCTGCAGACATCTTAGAAATTAGGTATTGCAGCACTTAGATTCCTCTTTGGATCCTTATAAACCTCCCTGATGACCTGGAAAAGAATAAAATTGTACTGCATTGATATCCAGCACAGTATCTGAATTTCAACACATTGCTACACTGTAAGTTATACAGTTAGGCACATAGAGATGCAGATTCAAGGTATCCATTTTGGAGAGGTAGGTGAAACGTCATAGCTGTTCAGAAAAACTTTCCTCTATCAGTGCCACGGTATTTGTAAATACTAAAGGACTTTATTTCAAATCCTTCTCAAGTTAATGATAGTTTTCAAAGTATTAAATTGAATTCACCCTCTTGAAATGTGACAAAACCAGTGAAGTTTCACCAGGTAGGTATGTGATTTGGTAGCAACAACTTTTATCTATTTTTCATTTATATCAAAGGATCCAATCTCCTTTATAAACAAAGGAATGAGTTCAAAAACCAACAAAATGCAATCACCCACAGATGACATGCAGCAGATTTCCTCTTCTCCTTTTTTTTTTTTTTTAAATTTAAATTTACATAACAGCACTGGTAGTGGAAAAGAATCTATGAGATTAGATAAATTGTCTGCAATTGATTTTTTTTTAATTCCCCTGAACACAGCAAAACACATCGTGAAGTTTCAGGGTGAACTACAGCCAAAGTTTTAGAAAAGAGGAAGACTAAATTAGGCCCTTAACACATACACAAAGTTATGAGAAAAATTAGTTACAAAATCACTGATCACTAGCTGTCTCAGCTAGGCTGAGAGCTGCTTGATAAGCAATTTATTTGGGTAGAGATATGTGACTGTTACTGACAGAGGAAGAAAAGGTGTTCTCCTAGTGAAAGGGTTTAAGACGTCAATAAAGCACATGTTTATGGCAGTGACACTAAGCAGTTAGGTGTGATTCATGATTTTAAAAGTGAAAGTCATTTAGCTTTGCTAATTACAATAACGGGTGCAAAACTGAAGAATTCTTCAACTATTTATGAGGTACACAGTGTCAAGACAAAGCATTAGAACATTTAAGATCTGACCATCAAGGGGTTTCTATTAAAATAGTCTCCAGCAGAGTCCCACTAAAGGGACTTTAGAAGCACCCTCAGTCTTCCCTGCTTGCATTGCTTCCCTGTCTTGCATTAAAGTTTTATTTTTAGGTGCTGTTGGTCTTTCAGTTGATTGTTTTAGCACATTGGATGGGTGTTTGGGATGTGAGAGGCCTTGACTGGATATTGTGAATTGGATTCTTATATGCCTGTAGAAAGTTTGATTCAATGAAATAGAAAGTCCTTTCACAGGATGACCCGTCCACAAACCACAGATATCTCAAACAATTCACCTGAGTTGTGACTTCCCATCCCTTATTTTCTGCACATGACACAACCATGAAAAAGTGGGCTGTGACCTGTGTGGCACTTATAGGGGGTTCACACACAGATCTATTTTGTCCTACTTAATCTTCTGAAATTCACTGTTACACTTCCATTTCCTCTACAGATGTGAAACTGTTTTCAATCGCAACATATTATTCTGTGCAAGACGGTAGATAAACAGACGGTTCTTCGGTGGAATATATACATCTGGTCACACTCCTACAAATACACCAGGGATGATCTGCACACGTTTATGCTTAACAGGACTTCGAAAAATCACCTATTTCTTTTGGCAGCAAGGGATTTTGATTACTTTCTGACTAAAATATAACAAAGTCATTACTCTGTTTTCTGAAGCACATACAGATAGAAAAATCTAGGAAAATTGTCCTCTGTCTAAGGAAGCAACAATTAAATACATAGTGAAGGAACTTGAAGACGTTTTTACATAAAACTGATCTCAGTTGATCTCATAGAATTACAAGTTATATTAAACAGTAGTGCAGGGAAAGGAAAGCCAAAGCACAATATACATCAAAGTAGCATAGCAAAGTATACAAACAGCCATTTGATAGCTCTCAAGCACTGGATGCCACTGCAATGGCACTGGTACTAAATACAATAAAATCCTGTAGTAGTTATCCACCATCATATGTCTGGTATTCTCGTACTAAGTGGTACTGTGCATGCTGTGCTGTCCTTAGGGGAATGCAATTAACCCTGTGGGATCTTGTTCTTCTTATTGTTCCTGTGAAGAAGATTTCCAGGAGGAGCACGTGATCAAAGCCACTCCTACCTTCTGGAAAACACCTGGGAGTTGCTCATCTATTTTATAAGTAAGGGAAAGAAAGCAGTAGCTGGCAGATGCTCCCTCTGTGCCTGGGCAAGAGCACCTAGAAATCAGATTTTAGTTTATACATCACCAGTTTTCTACCTGCCACCTTAGCACAATTCTCCTGACAGCAATTAGCTCTTGTGCCTTAAGAATAAAGCCTTTAATGAAATCCACCATAGGAAAGAGTCCTTGTCCTTTCATTTTGCATCCCCATTGATCAAACACTTTGGATAGGAAGGGCCTCTCTTCTGGGTTTTCTTTTCTGTTCCCTGTCCATCTCATTTTTGCCCACCTGCCAGTGTGGATTCTGTGGAATAAAATCCACAGATATATGCCATGGTTAGTGGAGATGTACTGGAGAATTTGCCACTGAAAAATGTCATTTTGTTAATTAAATTAGACTGCTAATAAAGCTAATGATAGAAACAATAGTTTTGGCAACAAGCACAGAGAGCAGTGGAGAAGAATGTGATTGCTACTTGGATCATAATTACCTTTAAAATTGCCATTTTGACGTTCACAAAGCAAACACTGCTTTGAGGAAAGGGATTGCTTTCAGAGCTGCATAGATCAGTAACAACTACAGAATCCAGATAAAACAGGCTGCTTAAGATTCCGGGTGTGAGTCATGCCAAATTTTGTACTCTGGAGGGCTCAGAAGCTCACAGCCGGCATCTTCTGGAAACGTGTCACCTTCGGTCGCTATTGATCACTAGCTACCTACTGTTGTGCTGGAGATTCAGCTCACCAGCAACAAAGTACTGTTGACACCAAGGGTGCTGCACAGCAGTGCACATAGCTTTTTGATGACTAAAGTAAAAAAAGAGATATCTTTGAATAAGGTCAGAAATTACTCAGTGATAACATGTTTTCATGTTATCTGTGAACACATCACCACAGCTCAGTTGACAGAGGTGAGAGACTTATCCAAAATACTGAGAAACAATCACATAGACTATCTTGTTTTTTAATACTGAAGAAAAGAGCTTTCTTCTCTTGCTTTTTTTAATCTTCATTTTTATCCCACTGAACTTGCACTGCTTTACTTCAATTTTACATAACAACACTTTGTGAAAAGTGATTTATTTTTAATGTATCAGCAAAATATTTCATAAAGGTGGTCTTTCTAAGCTAGCAAAAAATGGAAGTTTAAAATAATTTCTATTAAAAAAAATTCTATGAGATAACTATACACGCAAGAAAGATGCAAGGTTATGACAAATGGGATGTTGACAAGCCACCAGAGTACATACACACACACATCAATTCAGTTCACAGTCTAGTCAATCTTTGCACTTCCTGCTTAACTCCCTTCCTGGAAACTTGTGGGCTGTTAAGACTTTGCATCATGTTCCCTCTTGAATTCAAGGTCCAAAACTTGGCTACAAGAAACTATTATTTTTTGATGTATTCACTGGAGGGAAAACCTGTGCTGGTTGCACCTACCTATTCTTTGCAGCCCTTGAGATCATGGCAAAGGTCTATTCAGTCCTCTGGTAGGCAGGAGAAAAGTCCTTCTGAGACCATTGCTTATCGTACTCAAGCAGAAGAAATACTTCACGCTTTGAGTACTTTTTTGACTTTTTTTCCCTGAAAAATCCTTTACAAACCTACACATGTCCCTTAAAACAGTGGTAAAGAGAGTATGTGGAAAAAAAAAGTCGAAGTCAAGAGAAGACACCATTACTAGACATACACAGTAAGATGATGCATAGATATTTTATCTCAGACCATTTGCGGACTTTTCTGAAGGATGTTTCACCATGGACCTGGTTCTCTTTTGTCTAAGTTTCTGCAGTAATTTCCCACATGGTTTCCTCCAATGTTAGCAAAAATCTTGTTCAATTTAGAGTAATGTTAGCACAGTTATTATCTAACTGGTTATACTTTGCAAGGGGCAAAGTTACTTAAAGGCAGTATTTTCCTTTCCTGTATCAGCACCATTTTAGTGACCAGCAAGTGATTGACTAACTCCAGTTTGCTTTTACAAGGGTATTTGCACTTTTAGTCACATTTCTAACTTTTCAATGGCAATTAGGAATGCTTGGGTAAAAAAAAGGTGTTTGTCCTGGAGAACACACAACTATGGGAAACCAGAGAAGGGAGAATAAGGTTTTTAAAGTCTAAGGCCCAGTCTTAAATTTATGCTATATATTTACCATAATGGAGGAAAGAAACACTGAGTTATTTACAAAACATGGAAAGAACTGCAGTCTGCTATTATAGGAGGTAAGGTTCAGCAGGCTTAATAAAAAGATGTGCCCTTCAGACTGCTCTCAGTTTGTCCTATCATGTCTTTTTCCATCTTCAGCCTTATAACATTTTCTATGCCTTGTAAACTGATAGGAATTCATTCCTCAATGGCCATACACAGAGGTTAATAAGCTCCCAGCAGCAGCTGACTTGGCACTAGAGAAGAAATACTCTCCCCTACATCCAGTTCAGAATTGTTACCTTCATATCCCCTTCCCTGTTTTAGGAAACCATCTTTTTCCATCTCAGTTCTTCTGGATGTAGACTGGCAGTGTGGTAGGTTTTCCTCTTGTCCTGTGTCTGAGAGGCTGTTCATTGTGCAAATTGCTGTTCAATGTGATGTGACACTGAGCAAGCCAGAGACATGAGGTAGGTGTGCCAACATTATTCCTTACATCAAACCACAAAATAGGGCTTTTAGTGTTAAAAATAATCATTCATTAGGTCAGAAGGTAGGATAGGGTAACTATTACAATAGAGAAAAGGATGATTTTCTGGGGAAAACAGCTTAAACCATTTGCAAACAAATCTTTCCCCAGCCACTGTGCCTGTCCTTCCTTCTGACCTTGTTCTCCTTCCTGCAGTTTTCACAGTGATTGCAGCAGACTCCCTCTGACTGTCTCGGAAAGTTTCCTTTCTGTCACCTCTGTGCCTGCGCTCTCTGCTTTCTCACCGACTTGCACGCCAGCTGCAGGCTCCCTGCCTGCTCCACCCTGCACTTGCCAAAGGTTGTCCAGCAAAGCCTCTAAACTCGCTCCTGGAGATAACACCATCTCTCTTTCCTTTCAGAGGGTGCAAAATCCAAGACAAAACAAAGCAGCAGCTTTTGACCTTGATGTCCAGCCTAGCCTTTCAGAAAAACACCCTGCTCACAGAAACTGTGAACAAACAAATAACTCAGGCTGTTTAACATGTCACTGTGACACAGTGGTGAGCAGTAGGAAAGGCTAAAAGAATTTAAGAGATTATTAGAGGACAAGCAACTAATCCTGTGTGTATTTCTCTCACATTTCTTACGTAGTAAAATGTCATTCATTTGTGCAGCCAGGAAGCAGAGAACTTGCTTGTTTAAGAAGAACAGATCAGAAAGGTAGTGAGGATTTTCATTCCTCAGAAGGATTCCTTCTAAGGTGATAAAAGAACATAGTTATCTATACTGGCACAAACAGCAAGGTGTCTCTGCCTTGTAATATTAGAGCCAAAATATGACACTTTCTGTGCCTTAAATTCAATTTTTTTTTTTATCGTTGGAAGACGTGTACAAATTCCACTATAAAATAAATGGCGCTTTGCACCGAGTGTTGAGAACGTTAGAGGTTAAAAATACTCTCTACCTTCTGCCTCATCCATGCCCTGTCATCTCTATATATTTTCATACATATGCAAGTTTATGCTGTAAAATGTTCCTAACAAGAATTTGCTATAAAAAATGCTATGCATTATACTTGATAAAATGCTAAAATAAAATGGAATTTAAAAAAGCTCTGAAAAATACCTTGGATAGCATAGGATGCTGCACTAAAAAATGTACCACACAGGAAACTGCAAGACCCATAACCTAAAGCATGGCACCAATCAATCCATGAGGAAAACTAATATGCATGATGCGTGGGGATCATGTACTCAGTGAGCACATTCACATGATAAGGTTTTTTGTCATTCGAATGTGCTGAACCAGAAGGGAAAGGATAAAAAAGTACACTGTCACCTATTTGGAATGAGGTCTGTGGCAGTCTGCTGGAAAAGATGCCAACCATAAGTGGGGGAAAAGAAGATGTCTAAACTGGCAAGACTTTCTAGAAAACAAAACAAAACAAAACAAAAACAAGCAACAAACCACCAAGCAAAAAAAAAAATGCACTTGAAAGAACAAAGACAATTGCTAAAGATTTTCTTCTTACTACAGATTTTTTCAGCTATAATTCTTAAAAGATTTGGAGACAGTAAGTAATGTAAATGTTGAAATGTCCTCAATTTATTGTCTTTTTATTTTCCTACTCCTTGCAATTTAATACTGTAATATGAGCAACGCTGAAGGATTTTTTCCATCTTTCTCATTCTTCCACATCCTCAGTTCCTTTAACAGTCATGAAAGCACCAAAAGGAATATTAAGCCCTGTAATTTTTCTAGTATGCCAGTCTTCCAACACTCAGTTTTCTCAAAGTTAAATATTCCTTTTTTCACCATTCTGAAGCTTTCATAGGCACAAAGTTACAATGATAAAAATAAACCCTAACAGAGCTATCACTCAGTGCATTGAGCCAAAGAGCACAAATAGGGCAGGAGTAGAAAAGAAAATAGAACTTTAAAAAACCCAAACAAATCCCACCTTTTTCCAAATTAGTTCCCTTTAAAAATGCATGTATACATGAATTTTTTACTTCTGTCTTTTCTTCTAATTTGATCTTTACAGCAGTGAAAGAAAAATGCAAGATACCATTTACTTCTGGTTTTGGCTTTGCACAAATGTTTCTCTGATTTTCAATAAATTCTACTCACAACATGTAAATATCTGTGACAAAGACCATCCCCCTGGAGTGGTACAGGATGCATTGCTAAGCAACATTTTTTTTTCAGTTTGCTTTGGTTTTGTCCTTTTGTTCTCTCTCAGAGTTCTTTTAGTTGCTTGCTTTCTTACCATGTGAATACAGAGGGAAGTTCCACTAGGGTCTCTTTCTGCAAATAATATGCTATGTAAAGGGTTCAGATTTCAGAAAGCCCATGCGGAAAATCATGACATTTTTTAACTAACTTTGAATCTGTTATGTTCAGAAGCAGAATCCCGCTGGCATATGGAAATACAAATCCGAAGTACTTCCACTCTAGATTACCATTACTCTCTGGGTGGATGGACCTGCTGTAGGCTCAACTTCAGAGCAGAAAATTTCTTACTTTCTACTTTTTTTCCTTCCTTTGCACTTTGTGGTTTTTTGTAAAACAAATCGGAGCACATAGGCTAGAGGGGAATCACAGAGCACACCAGAAAGGTCCCTAACTGGGAGATCAACAGTGAGGACTTGAAGACGTGCTAGAGTATGTCAACCAACTGTTGACGCAGCCAAAGCTTGTCTGAGCCTCACCTAACTAAAGACAGAACATATACAAAACAAAGTTCCTTATATTGTTGAAAATCAAGCATTAGCCTGAAGGTCTAAATGTGTATCTCCATACTCAAAATGTTTGAAAATTATTAATGGACATATATTCTCTAAAACTGACAACCTGAAGAGCAGGAATGCAAGCATTCTCATGTTCATATACCTGTGGTTGTGCAAAGTAGTCCCAGTACAGCATACTTTGCCAAAAGCTAAAAACACAATGTCAAACTAGGGTGCTTTCCTTAAAGGGGAAAAAAAAAAAAAGTTTAGGTTGGTTTGTTTTTGGTTTTTGTTTTTTTGTTTGTTTGTTTTTTAAACAGGTACAAGCTGCTTCTAAAGCTGCCGTTTGAGAATATGAAGCTTTTCATATAGGTGTTTCATCATAACATGTCTTCCTGCCTTACTCTTTTATTGAGACCTGCATTTCTGTTGATCCCGGTGTTAGGTATGACATGGCAGTGGTTTCAAGTAGGTTTGCAACTGACCAGCAGCAGCCAGAAATGTTTCCAGATGTTTATGACAAAATGCATCTCTACAGACAAGGAAAACTTATATTGGTATGATGCTGGCAGCTCCAAGGCAACCTTGACATAAATTTCCTGCAAACATATTCCTGCCATTGCGAGCTGTGCTATCCTATCAATTCAATGTGATTATCTAGTCCAATACCGGGAATCCACATTTAATAGATGGTTCCAGCAGCAATCCTCTGACACCATCAGCTAAAGCTTTTTCTCTCTATCTTCTTTACCCTCATCTATATCGCTGTCTGTAAGAGAGTTTCCCAGTTCCATGAATTGGTATGTAAGGGCAGGTATTTGCTTCATAAACTCCTGCTGTTTCTCAACTGTTTGCCAGTGCAAAGGAGGATTTTAAATATGGCATGTAATTAACTATTACTGAGAAAGTAAAAATCAAGTGTAGCAGAGAAAAATGTGATTTGTCAGGGTTGTCCCTTCCTACCGTTTTTTAATTGCACCATGTCTCTCCCAAAAATGAATTCATGAAAGCCTACAGTATTTTTACCAGTGAACTATATTTGTGGAAATAGAAATTCCTGGCTGCCCTCCAGAAAAACAAACTCTCTCTGAACAGAAATAACACCTCAACGTTCCATATAACAGTAGTGCAGATAATATAGGACACTTAGCATGCTGATAGTTCATGGACACCCCTTCCCATTTTAATACAAATATTCATTTGTAATGAGCTAATAAAACTAATTTTGAGCAAAAGTTACGTTTTGGGAAGTAGTTACACCAAGAATTTTACTTTGAGATTTCACACTTGGAGCAATTGTATTTGTGTGATTCTTTCCACAGAATCCATTTTTTCAAGCACTGAAGGTATTTGGTGGGGACAGTCTGAGACACTCTGGCAAGTGCCTTTAACACTGAACTATATCACCCTCTAAGAGGACCAGAGGTCAAGGCATTAGACCACTGACAACTTGACAAATGTACAACTTCATTGTAATACTATCAAATAACAGCATGTATAAAATGTAAATATTCTCATCAATGCTGCAATTAAGCTTAAAAAGACGGTTGTATAACCACCAATCAAAAATATTGTTTTAATTATAACAAACTTGCATAGATGTTGCTCTCTTTCTCCTTTTGTTTCCTAATTCATATCCTTTCTCTTGGTGTTGCCTTTGTTTCTGCTTCGATCTTGGCCTTCGTGACTACAGTCTTTTCTTGTCAGAATATTCTTTTGCTACCTAGTGCTTCCTAAATGCGTATCATCTCTACAGCTAAATTGCATAAAGCATTACTTTGTTAAAAAAAAAAAATAAAAAAGAAAGAAAGAAAGTATCTACTGCAAGAGGTTGATCCTCTCATGGACTGCTTCCATTTCCCCAGCTATCTCGAGATAGGAAGTCCATCTGTTTGCTTTTTTCACTTCTTTCCTTAGAGTTCACACTTCACCTCCAGATACCCTGCTGGAGCAACTGTCTTCCTATACCAAAACCCTCTGGAGAAGCATAAACATTAGTGAGCATGTTAGAAGCACTAATGTGCAGAAACTTACCCTCTATTGCGTATGCTGCCTCTTGAGCTCTGTGCAGAGAGCAGTCAGTCTCACAGTGCCCCTCCATCTGAAAATAAAAGAGAGTGGATGATAGAAGAAGGGTTCTGTGTAACTGCATCAACACGTTTTTTTCCTCCTGAATACATTTGCCAGGCCAACACCCAAATATAGTGGAGTCGTGCCTAATGAAGCATCTCCCCCCATGGGACTGTGGTCTCTGTCTCTTCAGGAAGAAGCCCCATCCCCTCTACCTTTGTCCCTCATAACTGGATGCACGATCAGCTCTACTGGTCTTACATAAGAAAGTAAGACCTTTTGATTACACTGGTGGGTTTGAAACAGTATTTTTAACTCTTTTACAGTTATTATTTTTACTTGATTACAATTAAGATCATGTTCCTATTGTCCTTGTCATGAAAGTTTATGAGAGTCACTAGGCTAGGAAAAGTGTCAATTTACAGTTATCCTCTTTCCTTTAGATCAATTTCTGCAAGTGTTTGCAACTTTCCTTGTCAGACAGTAATTCACTGGATGCAGTAGAGGTTTTAATTACCTCAGTCACCATTCTAATACTATCAATACTCCCATAATATGTACCCAAATAAATATAAGCTTATTGTTGGATGTAAGTGATGTCAGCCTTCAAAATAGATGGTCACTTCACTCAGAGTCATAAAAGGAAGATTGCTTTTAGCCAGTATCACACTTTCAAAGATTATCTTTAAGTAGTTAACCTGACAGCTTTACCAAAACTTTATTGTAATAAAATCCTTGTATCCTGTCTTGTTTGATTTTATTTTGTATTACAAATTTTTTTCATTTAATTAACATTAAAGCCTCATTAAGAAATGGTATGTTTTTAATGCAGCTTATTTGTAAAACAGATAATAATTTACACCTTAATGCCCCCATTGCACTGAAATTCTACTCTTGCCAGACCCATGACTGAATTTAGACACAATCTTAGATATTTCAATTTTTGAAAAATAGTATGAAACTGTAACAAACAGGAGATATTTCAAAGATATTGTTTCCTACCATAGGTTCTGTAGATGTGTTTGATGAATTAAAAATTATTATATCCTGGGATTAATTAGGTTTTAAAAATACTTTTTATAAATTTCTTAGTGTAATGTGACATGTTAAGCACAACTAGCTAATAGCAACTATTTAAACATTCATTGGTCAAAACTAAATGATATTACAAACTCTTTACTTACTTTCTATTATGGCAATTTGTCACCTTAACAGAACTAAACCCAAGGTTGCACACTAATAGTGGATTTTTTAAGCTTAATTTCTTTAAATGCCTGTGATTAAATGAACAGCCTTAAGGCACCCAAGTATTTTGTTGTGACAGTGTGTTAGGATTTCAGGCCAAGTATTCAGTAATATTTATATATACATATATATATAAATAAATATTACTATAGCAACTGTCTAGCTTCATGCTTTCACTTTGCTTGTCAAAGCCTTCTCAGAAGAGATGCTGGTTTGGGGTTGACATGCAGTATTTAAAAACAGCCTCTAGATGCCGCTGTTTACTGCATTTAGAAGACGGGCGGCAGTCGAGAAGGAATAGCTGTAAATTGAACGAAATACATTTGACAAGTATTGCTTGAGCCTAAGCCTGCTCTCTTGACGTCAGTGGACAAGATTTCAGCAGTTTCAGGAAAAACAAGTAGAGCTTCTATATTTATCTGTAAAAACTAAACAAAAAACCCTTTCCCTTCACCATATAAGACTGCTCTTTGAAATACAATTAAATAGTTTTCATTGCATCCTAAGCTATAAAATGTACCATAGGATTGCTTCCTAATTACAGAAACTCCTTCTTACATACACACACACATACTTAATTATTCTGGATGTCTTTGTTTAAGAATGACACTGTATAAATATTAATCTTTTTTTTTTTTTCCCCAACTATACTTTGTTCCATGGTCTAAGTTCATTGTAGCATAGTAAATTTGAGTTTATTAGATCAGTTGCTGCTATTTAGATGTAAATTTTTTCAAGCAGGATTAATTACTCCGTAATTTTGAATATTATTTTTTTTAATTAGGAAAATGGAGACATTCTCTGACATTTCTCTAACTAAAAAGAAAAATAATCAAGAACACCAAACTCCACAGAAACTCCCATTGTGCCTCCATATCACAGTTCACAGAACATAAAATTTTTTAAAGTGTCTGGGTACTTTTTTCAGGGCTTGAGTTAGGTTAGGTAAAGCTCCAGGAAGCCATTTAGTGATTGAAACGCTCATGCTCAAGTTGCATATCCCTCACAGGAGCACCTTGGTCACCTCTAGAACACACGAGAAGAGTACAGAATTCCATAGTGCTATGTTTCAGAAATGAATGAGGCCACTCTTCCCTTTAAACCAATCAGAGAAGGAAGAATGTGACTACCATGGTGATTTATCCACAAGCACATGAAGAGCATGTAGTTGCATGGAGAGATGTTGCAGCAATATTTTGAATAACTTTACTATTTTCACCTCCCAACAGATTCTCTTCAAGATACAAGAGAGTCCTGCTTAGGAAACTGAAAGTAACCATTAGTAAGAATGCTTTTGAATTACATGTTATAGACGTCTTAGAAATGGTAAACAAACCACCAAGAGCACTTGAGTCACTGACTAGAAATTCGTGACAGTTCTCTGAGGAAGCAGGAGAGCCAGAGGTTTTTTTCATTTGTCCAGTGTGACTCAAGTATGCACCACTCTTCCATCAGAAAACCTGCAACTCATTGATTACTCTTGGAGAGTCAGGCTTACTGACAGTATGGAGGATTTTCTTCAATGACAGTTTCATGCAAGGGACATACTACAAGTTCGTGGAGAAAAGAATGTAAGCCAAGACTCTCCCTTCAGTCTTTCCACTATGTTTGGGAGTCAGCATTCATACACACATACAACCTGTCAAAGCAAGACTTTAATCATATTATCAAGATGAACAGCATCATCAGGAGACAGTTAAGATGTTTTTCCAGAAATTAGCAGCTGTGATTTTGAGTCTATAAAGACAAAAACTGAGTAAGGGTCTTCTGGGCTAAAGGAACACTAAAATCATTTAAACATGAGTTTCATGGTTGTGGTTAAAAATAGACTAAACCAAAATTCACTGGTTTACACAAAGCTTGATTTTGTAGGCAGGCACTGTCTTATCCCATGAGAAGAGGAAAAGCATCTTATTTGTAGATCTTGTAAGGGTTTGAGATGTGTTGCTTACATAGGCCAAGAGTAAGAAGTTTTTGAAAAGCCACAAAAGTACAAATTCATCTTCTCAGAACTTTGTAAATTGAAGCAAGCTGCAGAGAAACTTCCTCCAGTTTGATGACATTAAAATTTAGACTTTCAGGATTGCAATATGAGGTAGATAGCTATATATTGTCCATAATTTACTTGAGACAAATAATATATTTTTGGACCTGTTTTCTGAGACTTTGGGTTTTTTAAGCACATAGCTTCTTAATGGTCTTCCAGTATTATGCAAGATCTACTGCACAACAGAGCAAGCTGTATCAGTGTTAATGAGAACAGAATTTGTGACAGTATACTTTAAATCGGAGCTGCCTTAAGCTAAGTGGAAACACTGACATAATTTGTAATGCTAACTGGAAGAATGCAATTAAAGAAAGAATTATTAAAATGAGCCTCATGTCTGTATTTAGCGGGGAGGATCTGGGTTTTAAAAGTTACCTCCTCTTAATAATACTAAGACATGCAGGTCCTGATCTTGAAATGAGTTCCATATGCCTTAAAGCCCATGTTCAGGCATAGCATGCTTCTGCTTCATGACCAATTTTTAGTTTTCCATTTTTAGGAGAATTGAAACATATGGACTTCTGAAAGAGAACCATTAGGTTCAACTTCTGTAGGCTGACTGAAAGCCTATATCCACTAATAAATAAAAAATAAATAAAACAGAAAGATTACTCTCCAGCCATAGATGTGTCTCTGCCAAAGAACGCCGAGCTTTGGCAAAAGCTTTCACCTTATAATATTTTACATTAAATGTTTCTAACCAACAGATGGGTCTGGCTGAGGAATACCTGGATAGCTGTTCCCTAGAAAAAGTATAGGGCATTGAGCCATCAGACACAAAAGTGGGGTGACAAGCACTTTTGTAAACGGAATGGATTTTCACTCCCATTCAAAGGTTTATATTCAAGATCAAATGCTGAACAGGGAAGAAAACTGAAGGCTCATAACTCCACTGGTTCTCTCATAGTAGCATAGGTATGTGCACAGAGAAAGATTCTTGCTATACCAACCGTAAAATACATGTGTGTATATATATATATATATATATATATGCTCACTTAAATGGAATCATGTTAATAAGAATTTCATAGTTTGCAGAATAATTTTTTTAAACATTTATTTCTATCACTAATGGAAAGCATATTATAGTGCTGAATACAACTGCCTCTCGCTGCTTATGCTGAAGTCCTCTGGCATTCACGCTATCAGGAAAATAAAGCCTCTTCAGTAAGACCTCCTACATTTTTCAGTCAAGAATCTGCTGAACAGTAATGTAAACCAGACAATAGATGAAGTTCACCTTTGAAATGACTAGTGTTCAGTATATGAACTTTACTAAACTGCGCAGGTGTTTCAGGGGATTGACAGAACTGCAGAAGAGAGAAGAAAAAAAAAAAAGGCTTTGTAATTACTACTCCTCACTGGTATGGTATCAGAGTAGTTTTAAAGTTACTGGCACACTTTGTTATGCCTGAAAGTAAAAGACCACCCAATTACAGAAATTAGATAAATGTATAATTTTTGTATTACACCTTCATGGGTCTTCCCCTGCCACCACATGCATTTCACCTGAGCTTTTAGTCCAAGAAAATCTGCTTTCTTTTTCTACTGCACAAATTTACTGTCTTCAGTGACAAATAGTTACATAGGTATATACTATACAGAATGTCTAAAGAGAAATGTGACTAACTTCAGTTACTGTTTCCCAAAATATTATCTTGGAAACAAGTATCCTCTCCTCATCACCTCTTGCCTGAGGTTTGCAAGCACAGATATAAGCGAATCAGAGAGAAAGCCTT